GCTTGATGAATTACAAGTGAGCTCTGCTGACACAACAGGGTGTGGAAACCTTCCCTGCTCTGACTTTCCATCAGAATTAGGGGTGATGCTTGCATATTTTACCAACAACATATTCCCCTCAATTCTAATGTGAAATGGGAGAGGGGAGGATGGGGAGATGGTAAAGTCTTCCCCCACTAGTCACTAGGACACATGCCATTGCTTTAAAATTAAGTAGAAAAACTGCTTGGCTGTATAGAGACAGCAAATCCAAGTATCAATAGGTGCGTAAAGAATTACCATCCTCCAGGAAGGAGGCAATGTTAGATAAGAAATGCAGGTCTCCTGTCATCTGATGTGATTTAGAACATAGACTAAAAGAGCCATTGCAAATCCCTTATCCCGGAACTCAGTCCAGTGTGTAGGGAGCCAATGCATAAATTCACCTATGCAGAGAGCAGACGCTGAATTCCTGGAACCAAAGGATTGCCAGCCTCATCAAGGATCTGTCACGTGGTGAGTGAGACCACTGCAGCTTCATTCAGCAACCCTTGAGCTGTTGAGCTCCTTGTGCATGGTGAAGGCAATAACCCTTTCTCACTATTGCTCAAGAAACTGCAATTCAAAGTCATTTTCTGTTAGGCAAAGGATACAGAGAGCAGCTAAAACACCAAAATCTCCTGGAAGATATGGGAAGATAAAGAGAGTTCTTCTACACAATTAATCCGATGTTGGTGTCTTGATGGCTTCAAGAGGCTGAGGAGACAGTACATAGTTTCAGAATGTTTACCTTTGTTGTCCTAATGTTACTCTTGCTATGCTGAGGATTAATTCTTTATATGTAAAGAAGATATAGAACATAATACTTAAAAAGGAGTTGCTAGGTGTATTAGTTTGTTCTCATGCTGCTAATAACAACATACCCAAGACTGGGTAATTTATAAAGGAAAGAGGTTTAATGGACTCACAATCATGGAGGAAGGCAAAGGAGGAGCAAAGGCACATCTTACATGGCAGCAGGCAAGACAGCATAGGCAGGGAAACTGTTCTTTATAAAACCATCAGCTCTCGTGAGACGTATTCACTATCAATCATGAGAACAGCATGGGAAAGACCCTCCCCCTTGATTCAGTTACCTCCCACTTGGTCCCTCCCATGACATGAGAAGATTATGGGAGCTACAATTCAAGATGAGATTTGGGTGGGGAAACAGCCAAATCATTTAACTAGGTATGTCCACCCCAAACATTAAATCAAAAACAGCTTTTTGGTCTTATAGTCCTTATTCTTATATAGGGCATTTCTGGACATAGGTGTTTACACTCTTCTTTGCAACCTGTCGGTTTTAAGATAGACTATTGGCAAGTAAAATGTCAGTGGCAAGCACTGAAATTTGACTCATCGGCCCTAGGGAAGCTGACTCATTGGTTTTCCCCCATGTACCTTGCCTTCTTGATATGCCTGGGGGTGGGGGGGCGGGTAAGGGGTGGGGGTAGGAGAAGGAGTACTGATTTAGGGCTGAAGCAGGTCTAAAGCCAGCTTGCTCTGGGTTTAAGATCCGGCCTCCACTGATGTTTCTCCAAAGTTGGGAGTCATATTCCTGTTTAAGATAATCTTAAGTGATCTACATTGAATCTCTGAGTAGGTTATTGTCTTTAATCCTTCTGAATATGCCAAATGGAGAGTTTCAGTTTAGTGCTAGAATTAAATGCCCTTCTAATGGTGGCTAGCTTCATTTTTTAACAGAGACTGAATCTCACTCCTAGTAGCTAAGGCAAGCAACTATGCAGAGCTGGAAATCATCAGCATCGTTTTTCTCTTATGTTTATTTTTATGCTTAGCTTCTAATTACAAGTAGTACTTGCTTTTCACTGAGGCTGAAATATAAAGTTTAAGATAAATGTACTAAAATTTAAAAAGTGAATCAAGTAAATAATGCTCTAAGTGGTCCACAAAGATAAGAAAAATCATGACAAAATGGGAATGAATGCAATTTGGGAAACACTGTATTCGCCCAAAGTCATGTTTATTTAGGCATGTGGTCAGATGGTAGACAAAAGAAAGAGGGAGGTCAGCCTAGGCAGGAACCAGCATGATCTGAAAAACTTGCAAGTAGAACAAAGTTGGTTGGGGAATACAGGCCCATTTTGGTTTCTGCTACCTGGCTGTAGTGTGACCAGGGAGGCAGGTGCTGGACAGGGTTGTATTAACAAAGCAGGTAAGGATGTCCAGCAGGTGAGGAGGTGGGAGGTCCTCAAGGCAGAAATAGGCCAGTAGATAAGGTGAAGAGGCTAAAAAGACTATTTGGAGGGTACAAGGAGAGATGGGACAGGGAGAAGGAAGTGGCTAGAGAGATGGGCTCTTTTAGCAAGGAGGGCAATACACAGACTAAAAGAGAATGGCCTTTAGGGCGGGATTGCCTGGGTTCAAATCTGAGCTTTGCCACTTACCATTGATTGGCCTTGAACTAATACTTAACATCCCTAAGAAAGACTTAGCTTTCTCATCACTTGTAAGACAGGATAATAACAGAGTCTATATCTTATAAATTCTTAGCAAGTGTTGGCTACTGTTATCAATTCCAGGGCTGAGCCCTATCATGTCTGCCTCTGTGCATGTTGAGAACCGTGTGGTTTTGCAGAGTGAGCACCATGAATGTCTTTAAACTTGCTCTGCCTAAGACTAACTTGCTGCTGAGGGAATAATCACGAAAGCTGGGGAAGGTCAAGTCTATCTGAACTTCAGATTAACAAGTTTTAAAATATAGCTATGTCCATATATTTCATAATTGCCCTATTTATTAACACATTTCAGGAATTTCAGGAGTTTCATGAACCACTTAATGTATAAAAATTCAATATGTAGACACATCTTTTTTTTTTTGAAAAGGGGAGAAATAAGCAGGTGGACCAATCCAATGATTGAATTTCCTTTAAAAAAATTACTATAATAGGTTTGTTGCCTAATGCATGGCAAGTCAATACGCCGAGACACAGGGTTGCAGCAGAGAAGGAAGTTTAATCATAAGGCTGCTGAATAAGGAGACACGGGAAAACCTCAAATCTGCCTGTCTGAGCCGTTTAGGTCTTAGGTATTTTAAGGGGGTTGGAGTGACCGAGGTAGGGGATCACTGAAGAATATAGGATGAAGTCACAGGATGGTGAGATGAAGAAACTGCGTTTTCATGCTGATTCAGTTCCTCATGGGGAGGGGGATCTTCAAACTGGTTGGCATTAGCTGTTTTGCTGGAATTCAGGATCTGAAAAACATGTTAAGCAATTTTTAACAAACAAAAGCCTTATGATTCTAACATCAGAAATCTTCTCTGTAGGAACAATGAGGAGGCAAATTGTTGGCATCTGGTGCTCTGTGACTTTGGTTACGAAGAAGTGGGCCGAAGTGGGCCAAAGTGCAGCCTGATTAATGCTTAATTACAACCATATTTCTGTCCAGAACCCAGCATGTAATTCTTGTTAACCCTGTGAGGATGGTTTCAATAGAATGTTTCCTTTGTCCTTAAAGGGAAGTATATTTAGTCCCATTATACTTCAGGTAATGATGATACTCTTGGCAAAATCTTAGGACCCTAAGTGGTTTGCCACCTCGCAACCTATAGTATCCATCCTAGTCTTAGTTACCACATCTGACTGCTGGGAAGACTGAGGGTGATTTGTTTGTCTGTACACAAAAAACCTTTAAAGAGAAATACAAATGTTAGTTAACTTAAAAATCCAAAGAAGATACAGTGGCAATAGTTTGTGTAACAAGTTAGGGTAAATATCGTTCTGGTAAGATGTACGAGGGAAGTCAATTTACCTGGAAGACAGGAAATGGCAGGCCTCAAGGCAAGACAGAAACAAAAACTGACAAAGCAAAGCCTACCGGAAACTTGGGTAATAAGTTTGAATCTTCTTAAAGTGTCTAGAAAATGCATTCTAAGACAAAATCCTACAATTCAGCAAGCCTTGGGAAAAAGCCTAAAGCTTTCTAGCCTCTACCTGAAAATACCCACTACAATAGGAAACCCAGGAGAAAAAATTCAACCTAGGCAGTCAAGTCTGAGGTATTGTCACCCCATTTAAATTTGAACAGGGCACTCTAAAATGACATACTGGCCTTCAAAAGAGGAATAGAAAGAGGTTTGTAGTCATGCCCATAGGCCTATGTTCTTAGGTAAACTAGCTTGATCCTTAAAAAATGAGAGAGAGATGGTGAACAGTGGAAAAGGTTAAAAATAAAATATGAAAGACAGCCTCTGCTATAGCACTTGCCATATCCCCCTAGGCAATTGAGTGCAAGCTGACAAACTTATGACATGGGAGAATGAAATAAGCTTTCTAGAATGCAAGGATCTGAGTACAACACCATGTTTGAACAACAGTAGGGGAAAAGGTAGTCTGGGTCTTTAAGTATTTAGAATACGCTAAAAAGAGGGCCTGGGAGAGAAAGGCCAAGTGTACATATATTTAAAGCTATCCAGTAAAGACTTACATTTCAAAGTGAAATCAGAATACGATGAATGTGTTTTCTAGCTTAAAATCATGATCACTAAGTGGTTGATACAATTTTTTCCAATCAATTGCTACCAGCATTTGCTCACTAATTTTGTTTTTTATTTATATCTGATCTACTTCTGCAACTTATAACATGAACATATTTATTCACAGGCCAGATGAAGAACTGCCTATTTCTAATTTGGAGTTATCTAATTCTAAAAAGGAAAAAGAAACTATTTATAGGAGAGGATCTGTAACTGGGGTCCATGGGAGTTTATTAACAAGTTTGCCAGAAAAAATACAAGATACAAGTTAAATTTGAATTTGAGATAAACAAGTAATTTTTTTAGTCTAGATATATGCCAGTATTGCATGGTAACCCTATGTTTATACACAAATTTCAGAGAGATAGATACATTTCTCTCTCTCTCTCTCTCTCTTTTTTTTTTTTTTTTAGATGGAGTCTCCCTCTGTCACCCAGGCTGGAGTGCAGTGACGCAATCTCAGCTGACTGCAACTTCTGCTTCCCAGGTTCAAGCGGTTCTCCTGCCTCAGCCTCCCAAGTAGTTGGGATTATAGGCATGAGCCACTGTTCCTGGCCATTTTTAATGCTTTTTGTTTACAGACCAAACACATCACCCTCAGTCATTCCAGCAGCCTACTATGGGAACTGAGACTAGGAGGGATAATATAGATTGCCAGATAGATCTAGGCATGAGTTCCTTAGACACTATATAAAAATTTGGAGTAGAAGCATTTTGACAAGGAAATTGGCTATAGCTATCTTTCTACCAGAGTCTTAAACCTATGATCTCTCAAGAGTTAGCCATCATTAAGGCAAAGATTAATTCTATCAAGCCTTGACTTTTCCCTGTGGCCTAAGCTTCCTAGCAGCTGTACAAAAAGAGAAATGTGAAGGCAATTTACCAAATAGCAACTGAAGAGAAGAGTCCTCTCAGTGAAAACAGAGGAGTTTGCCTGGGGGCGTGGTAGAGAGGCAGAGAAAGCTGGTTTACAGGGCCTCACAGACAGACTTGAGCCTGAGGGCCATGTCACACCTTAAGGTGGGGTTGACATTTTAAACAAAAAGTTGTGCATGACAGAAGGTCTGCTTTGTGAACATTGGATTCTGGAGGAGCACCACCACAGGAAAGACTGGAGAAAGTTGGTGGTGGGGTGGGGGCACTGGCTTGGAAGAAGGGCGTGAAGAGGCAGGTGGAAGAGACTAGGAGGCTGGGAATACAGTACTCAAAGGCCAGGGTTTTCTCCCCTGCAGCTTGCAGCCACCACCCAAGGATGCTGGTGAAGGTGTTTTTATGCATCTCCATTCTGAGAGTGCAACCTCTTTCCTGAGGTCCATGGGAGGGTCTGGGTGATGACAAAATGCAGTCTTTACCTGTGTCACTGAAAGTAGACCCGCAGAGCTGCAGCTTCTTCTGCCATTTCCTCTTCTGATCTCCAAGAGACTGGGGAGTCCTCCTCTTCCTTGTCATGTTTCTGGAGCTTTGGAGAAAAAAAATGGAAGAGGCTCTTTCATGGACCCTTGGGATCTCCTTGAAGAAATTTCGGGGGACTGGGGGAGACTGAACACAATTTGCAAATTAGAGGCCAGTAGGTGTATCATCTTTTAATTGTTTCAGTTGCCAAAACTTGCAAATGGAGGGGCTTTACACAAGAATCCACATTTAAAACAATCGGATCATTTGCCTTCTTGTAATCATCTACTGAGGCTGAGAGGGGTGATGATATGATATAGGTCTGTGTCCTTGCCCACATCTCATGTCAAATTAGACTCCCCAGTGTAGGAGGCAGGGCCTAGTGGCAAGTGATTGGACCATCAAGGCAGAATTTCCCGTTGGTGCTGTTCTCATGATAGTGAGTTATTGGGGGATCTTATTGTTTAAAAGTGTATAGCACCTCCCTTCACTCTCTCTTCCTCCTGCTCCAGCCATGGAAGACGTGCCTGTTTTCCCTTCCACCATGATTGAAAGTTTCCTGAGGTCTCCCCAGCCATGCTTTCTGTACAGCCTGAGAAACCATCAGCCAATTAAACTGCTGTTCCTTATAAATTACCCAGCCTCAGGTAGTTCCTTATAGCACTGTAAGAATGGACTAATACAGGTGGTCACAGATTGGGATGAAGTGGGGGAATGGGGTGCATTTGCCATTCCCATAATCTCCCCCACACTCTTCTAATTTTCTTATGTTTCATAGGCACCATTCATTTATTTTACTTCCTGGATTTTGAAGGCATTGAGTTTGCCACCAACCCATAATCCCTCCTTCAAGGTGGGCTGTGGTTTACCTCTTACTCTCTTTGGTTCAGACTCTCTTACATGAGCTCCGCGCAGTTTTGTTCAGTGAACCAAATTTATGATAATAACACAAGGGCCATGAGAACTGAGTAAGTAATAAGTATTTCCATTAAAAGAGGCTTCAAGTAGGGAAACAGTAAAAGAGATTACATGAGAAAACAACTTACAAAAAATTAACAATTGGTCTCAAAAGTAACACTTGAATCATTTTAAATTCCTCCTCAGATTACAGGTATATTTATTTTAAAAAGTTGTGTGTATGTCTCAGATTTACATATAGAGTAAATACAACTGCAATTCTATCACAGAAGATGTTCTCACAACGCTCTTCCTTAGAAAAGCTCAATTTTCTCCCTTAACCTCCTATTATGATTCAATTTAATTAACTAAATTTCTTGTTCCTGTGTATGGCTCTATACATTGTAAAATGCTGCAGGTTATCCGTTCATTCTTCGTGGGAATGCAAAGTGTAGTATTTTGTGTCATGTGTTAAAAGTCATTTGGGATTGAGACCATTTAATAGCACCAATGATAGCTAGCATTTATGATGTGAAAGGTGCACATTATTTCTTTGATATACATTATTTCATTTAATCCTTACAATAACTCATAAAACTGATGCTACTTAACCCCATGTTACTGTGGAGGAAACTGAGTTCTAAGGAAGTTCATAACCTGGTCCAAAGATCACCCAGCTAGGTAGTGGTAGGTGCCAGTATTATCCCCAACAACTTTTGCCTTTTTATTTATCCTGAAGGATCTACAGTGTCCTTAATGACCATTCCACGGATATTGTTCCACTCTCTTTTGTAAAAGGTCAACTTAACAGATATTAAAATGTCAACTTTTTAAAAGTTGATCCTTTAAAAAATAATTTTGCCAACTCAGCAAAAAGTCTATCAACTAATATAATGACTTTTGCTATCTCAGGCTCCAAACTCTAAATTTAACCTAGAGGCCTTTACCCTGGCAGCTTGCAGCAGATGGAGAAATTTCCCCATTTATTGCAGCTCAACGTTGATACAGAAGGCAAAACAGTGAGGGAACCATAGCCTTGCACTCCAGCTGAGCTATATTTCCATTCCTGGTAAGTTTGAGCCTAAATGAGGCTCATTAGCATATAACCGGGCCACAAATATGTTTATGAGGGTCATGGATCTTCCCTTCAGAATTTGGCTGCCAGCACGCTGGTTTTACATTTTGCCATGTAGATTTGATTCTCCTTAGTGGAAGAAAACCACATTAAGAAGTCATTTCCTTTCTTGCAGAGGCAAACATGCGGCAGTTGCTACAGGCAAGTCAAACAGGATTGCTATTCTTCTACTCAAGAACTAATTTTCATTTTGATACTACCTTGAGGTCTGTTATAAATCCATCTTATAACAATTCAATAGGATGACAAAGAGACATGCAAAGCCCAGGAAACGCGGCCTTCCCACTTCTGCTACTGCCATTGGAAGACACGGAAATCAAGCATTAAGTGGCCGCATCAACACAGATCATACCAGATGAATCCAAATAATTTAGAGCCTGTGAATGTTAATGCCTTCCTGGTTATTAGGCGACCGTCTGTTATTGTCATATGCTTTACAGATGGCAACATTGTGCCAACCCTTGGAAGCTGTTTTTGGGAAACAGGAAATAAATAAAACAAAAACTAATCATCTTTGCAAAAACTGTTGTACATAGCTTTTAAAAGTCATGAGATTTCCCTCCTAAAAGCCCCAGATGGAAGCATGTGGTTCTGTTTAGAACAGCGGCGCTCAACCCTGGTTGCCCATTGTAATCATCTAGGAAGCTTTAAAAAAATGTAACCCACCCCAGGGATTCTGATTTAATTGGTCTGGGGCAGCTTGGCTTTGGGGATTTAAAACAAAACTTCCCAGTCAATTCTAAGGTGCACTTATTGTTGAGAATCACTGCTTTTGGGAGAAGTGTATAGATAGATAGAGCTAGAGCCCACACACATATAGAAAGAATACGTTCGCCTTTAAGCACATTGCTTCTGATCCTATCAACAGTGCCACTGCTGTCCTTTGCAAACCTTGCCCTAGAACTGCTTTTCTTCTATTTATGCTCTGTCCATGGGATGTCTGGCCTACAAGGCTTGTCTTAGCAACACTAAGATGCAGAACTAAGATGCGGATGCACTTCAGGAGCCTTTAAATATTTTTAATCTCTGCAGAAATAGGGAGCCTGGGAAAGGCCGTGGTAGGCAAGACTTGTGTCCTAGAAGATCCACCCAGGTGACTTGAAGATTAAAAATGCTACAGTTTGGAGTAAAGTTCCGTTTCCCTAAAGCAACCCAAGAACCTGGTGGCTACAAATTCTTGCCTGGCTAACAGAGAGAAAGCCCTAATGATCTTAAATAGTTGTTTATCCGAAAGGCACTATTTGCCGTGGGTGAACTTTAATGGAGGAGTTTCACTTCCGATAAGCCTTCCAGAGGGACAGACCTAGCACTGCAACGCTGAACCAGACAGACTCCTTTATTGTTCTCCTGGGGCACCCAGGTAGGGAGGGTAGACACCAAAAGGCTGATTCTTAGTGAGATGGGATTACAAAATGGGAAGGGTGCTGGATAGAGCTAGCCCCATTGCAAAGGCTTTCAAGTATCACCTTGGTTTCACAAAGAAACATTATGATAAAGAGTGATGGAGGGAAAGAGATTATCCATGGATCATCCAAAAATGGCTCTCTAAGAAGGCGAGAGTTAGGTCTGAGCTTGAACAATGAGAAGAGCAAGTTCCTTTAACCTCTTTGTGCCTCAGTTTTCCCCTTTGTAAAATGGGAGTAGGAAAAAGAAAGAGTGAACAGTGCCATGCCTGACACATAGTTAAGTCATATTTAATATTCCCTGCTGCTGCTGCTGCTACTGCTGTCAGTCATTAGTATTATTTTTAGGCTAAGTAACACTGACCTAATGACAGCAAGCACTAAAAACTCCACAGAGGTTGTTTCTAGGAATAAAAGTATTTTGCATCTCCATGGTTCCCCAATGATCTGTATCTTTTGGACCTAACTACTTTGTAGAAGGATTAAAAGTTATGATGAGAATTCAGATCCCAACCAACTTATTATAATGAGACACCCAAATCTGGGGAGGAAATGTAGCTGCTTCAGCTCTAAAATGACCCTCACTAATCCCGAATCCTCAGAGTTGTTGTATGGAATAAGGTATTAACTGAGGCTTCTCACAGTAAAAGCTAAGGACCTATGGTAAAAGAATAGGGTGGAGGTCAAAGGCAGTCAATACCCCAGGAGTATGATTGCCAGATTTCCAGATTTAGCAAATAAAAATACAGGGCACTCAGTTACTTGTTTTAGGATAAGGATGTCTCATACAGTGTTGAGATATCCTTGTACTAAACAATTATTTGTTGTTTACCTGAAATACAAATTTAACTGGGCTTCTTGTATTTTATTTGGCAACTTAACCTAGCAGACACCTTAAAAAAGCATCGCAGGAAGAACTTGGCTTGCATTTGGTAACTAGGTTGTTCCCAAAGTTGCCTGGCTGTGAATCCTGGAAAAAACAGAGGAGACCATAAGCAGAAAGATGAAATTCAAGGCCATCATTTGTGCACTCCAGGGCTTATTATTATTGCATGGAATGCAGTGTAAATCAACCCGCACTATTTTAATTCCTTAGTTCACCAGTTCTAAAGTGTATATTTTTTCATATTTTAACATCTTTGAAATCAAAACATGTCCTATAACCAACAGTATGTCATAATTTAATTGGCAGTGTTTTTCTTTCTTAGTAGTACATAAAATAACCGCACTTCCAACTGACTGTGTCTGGGATTCAGTGCACTATAGTTCTCCATCTCTCCTTTCTGCAGGTAAGTCACGTAAGTTAAATGTGACTCTGCTTGCTCTGAAAATGCTCAACACCCACACTGATGTATTACATACTGGTTTCCTTCTGATGCAACAACAGTAGTCAAAACGGTTTTCACAGAAGCTTTGTTCTTTAGAGGAAAGTGCGTGCCAAAGTGACAAAGTTTGCAAAAACTTGAACCAAAGTCTTCATTCACATTCAACAGATTGAAGTCTGTGATGGCCTCTCCAAGCAAATTCTATTTCTGCACAGCTTTGAAAAGAGATTTTTTAAAAAAAAATCTCTCTTCAGTCATCACACTTTATCTGCTAGAAATGGTTTTTGGGGAAGGTAGTGTTAACAGG